CCAGTGCGGCAACGTCTCCGCCGGCACAGAAGGCCTTTTCGCCTGATCCCTTGATGACCACCACGTTCGCCAGGTCCGACTTTTCCCACTCGACCAATCTCGGCAGAATTTTTCGGATCATGCTTCCGTCCAGGGAGTTGAGTTTCTTCGGGCGGTTGAGCTCAATGGTCCTCAGACCGTAACTGCTGTTGAACATGACATCGTCAGGGTCATCCTTGGCCTTCTGCTCAAACCCTTTCGGAATCTGCGTCGACATCTGTTGAAGGCGGTTGTTAGTCAACGTCGTCGACTATACCAACAGCAAGACGGATAGAATGACTCACTTGTGCGCGTGATGAGGCCTCCGCGCCGATGATCTTGGCTCTGAGAGGCATACCGAAGCTCCTGCTGCAGCTCCGGCAAGGAACAGCTAACGCTGCCGGCCTGGCTCTAAGTGCGATCGCTCTCGAGAACATTTGTCTGCTACCAACTGCCAATGCGCTCGTCTAGGACAAGCGATGCATCGACTGACGGATAGTGGGCGTGTGGTAGACGGGCCGGACGGGGGAGGGGAGGGAGGAAGGGGGGGTGGGAAAGGAGCTTCGATGTAGGTGATGTCGCGGGAATGGTTTTCCAAAGCTCTTCTCCACGTCAAATTCGAGGCCGAGAATAACCATGGGTCTGTCCGGTAAGGCAATTGGCAACTGCCAGTTGAGGTGCGCACTGACCAAGGTGCGCCCGGCAGGAAACCCCCACTAAACCTTGCGCATCGCTACAAGCTTTCCAGTGCAGCTTTCGCCTGTAATGTTTGGACGGGGACACTTTTTCCAGCGCCGACCTCACTGAAGCTATTGGCCAATCAGAGCATCTGTGCGCCATTACGGCGAGCCGCGAGACTGCCAAACTCTTTCAGCCTTGCTGTGTGTACCTTTGCCCAGCATTCAAAGACGTTGTCGCGACACACACCACATCGACACCCTCCACGCCTATCCCCACCAGACTGCCGCCCATCATGTCGACCGATCCTAAGATCCAGTTCGTACCTGTCCTTATCCCCTGTATGGATATCCATCCATTGTGCTAACACGTAAACCAACAGGGAGCTTCTCACCAAGTCGCGCAACGAGTTGACCGAGTACGAAATCGCACAGCTCGAAGAGCACGAGTTCAGCGCCGGACCCCTTTCCATCCTCCAGACCGCCGTCCGCAGCCACACCCAGGTCCTCATCTCCATCAGAAACAACCGAAAGCTCCTTGCGCGCGTCAAGGCCTTTGACAGACACTGCAACATGGTTCTGGAGAACGTCAAGGTGCGACAACTTCTTACTCTCGCTCGTCGCCAGAAATCACAAAAAGCGAGGCTGACGTTGGTATTCTATAGGAAATGTGGACAGAGACGCCGCGCCTGGCCAACGGCAAGAAGGGTCGTCCCGTGAACAAGGACCGCTTCATCAGCAAGATGTCAGTTTACGCCCACCGCATGCCCATTACCCCCATAATTGGAGGCTAACACCTGTACAGGTTTCTCCGTGGTGATAGCGTCATCCTGGTCCTCTTGAGCTGAAGAAATCCAACAATCGCGGATGAGAAGGAGTTGAGCGTGTTGGTCTTGTTATGCGGCCCCTCTACGATAATCATCTGGGCCATACACAAGAACGTTGAAACCGAGAAAACGGGGAGAACAAAGGGACTGCACTATCCGGCCATACGAAGAATATGCCTCAACAAGATGAATTGGGACCGTGAACGAGGCGCGCTTGGTTTGGTGACAACTTGGCGCATGCTCACCGTGCCATACCGTATGAGTTAAGAGAGAGGCGGGGGAGAAGAGCAGCGGACGAACCAGGAACTTGAGAAGGAAACAAGTTTCGCATAAATACCCACGGTAAAGTGGTTTTGTTGTTTCAAAATGGGATGAGATAGGCGTTGAAGACAAAATGGATCAATTGGGTTCTTTCATTTTCTCCCTGACTCTTTGAGCATTTTGCCGATTTTCCAAGCTTCGTGCAACCACACGAAACCCCCCTATTATCCGATTCACTCATCGAGGAAAATTACTACTAAAACAGGCGCGATCTGCCCCATACACAAGGAAACCCTTTTGGAAATTGCGGACTCGGCAATCCATCTCTACAGCTTCTCCCACCCATCCTCACCCTCAAGGCCCGCCAACCCGCTAAAGAAGCAGCTCAACCCCCACGCGCCGGGGTCGGGCACCTGCTCGAACCCGGAGCCGCCGACGTACACCGTCCGCCCCAGGCTGGCCTTCATGCCCTTTGTCGTCTCCGCGCCCGCGCGCGCCGCCTCGGCCGCCTTCTTGACGTCGCCCGACTCGCCGAGGACCTCGACAAAGGGGTACAGCGCGTCGACGAGGGTCCGGTCGCCGGGTCGCGCGGGCGTGTACCGCGACATGGCGTCGCTGCTCTGCTTCAGGGCCGCGGCCCAGGTCTTTGCGTCGGCGGACCCGGGGGACAGGCTGCGGAGGGCGGCGGTGAGGGCGTTGAGGAAGATTGCGTAGAGGGCGCCCGAGGTGCCGTCCATTGTGTTCTCGACGACGGGGACCATGGAGGCGAGGTCGACGACGGCGTCGCCTGTCAGGGGGTTCTGTGAGATGTGCTTGAGGATTGCTAGTGAGCGTGAAGCTTGTCAGCGGACTGTGCACGTTTGGTGTGACATCTAGATCGGATAGCATGTTTGTCTCTCACCTTCAGCTCCTCTCTTCAGACCGATGCCGCAATCGCCGTCACCGACGACGGTGTCATACCTAGTCACCTCGGGCTCGGCCGCAATGACCCTCTGCAGACCGCCCGTGATAGCCTTGGTGGCCGCAGCAGCATCGTACTTGAGATCGCTAGGCTTCGTCGCCTGCCCGGCGTCCGCCGCCTCCTCCCGCGTGGCCTGGTTCTTGGCCTCCCACGTCTCCTTGAGGATGGGCGACGACCAGCCCGTGGCCTCGGTCGGGTAATCGAGCAGCTGTATCATGCTCGGGCCGCCAATGTCCGTGTTGACGACGTTGAGGAGCGAGATGCTGAAGCCCAGGCCGTTGAGGCTCGTCATGTACGTCCCGCTCAGGATTCTTACGGGCCGGATCCCGTAGCTGCCCTCCAGCTGCGCCGCGACCTCGGCCGTGATGCCCCCGAGCTCGAGCGCGCTCACGCCACCGAGGTTGTTGACCAACAGCACGACCTCGTTCGAGTTGACGTTCAAAAACGCCCTGTCCTTGTCGCTCTGATCCAGCAGCTGCGTGAGCATCTTGCCCACCAACCCTTCCAGATCCGCGCTCTCCCGGCCGGAACCCGGCTCGTTGTGGATTCCCATGCCCAGCTCCGCCTCACCGAGCTGCAGCGCGCCCTCCTCCTCGCCGCTGGGCACCGCGCGCCCGGGAACGTGAACGTGCTCCAGGCTCGCGCCGACGCTGACTAGGTTCTCGGCCGTCAGGCGCGCGACCTTTGCCACCTCGGCCAGCGGCCTGCCCTGCGCCGCGAGCGCGCCGGCAATCTTGTGCACGAGCACCGTGCCCGCGATGCCCCTCCGTCCGACCTTACCCGCCTTGGCCCGCCCAACGCCGACGTCGTCGCCGACGACAACCATCTCGACCTCGAGGCCGCTGGCGCGGGCCTTTTCGACAGCCATCCCAAAGTTGAGGACGTCGCCCGTGTAGTTCATGACGGTGACGAGAACGCCCGCGCTAGTGTCGACGCGCGAGGCGACGGCCGTCCGGACCTGCTCCGCGCTCGGGCTGGCGAAGATGGTGCCCGCCACGGCGGCGGAGAGGAGACCCTGGCCGACCATGGCTGCGAAGGAGGGCTCGTGGCCCGAGCCGCCGCCCGAGACGACGGAGACGGTCTTTTTGTTGGCGGCATCGGGTGTCGGTCTGCGGTAGATGATCTTATTGGGCTTGTCGAGGGCCAGGCTTGGGTTTGTGAGGGTTAGGCTGTGGAGGGCCTGGTTGACCAACTTGGTTGGGTCATTGATGAAGTGTTTGGCTGACATTTTGAAGGGGGTTTGCTTCGGATATGTTTTGCCTGGTGAAAGGGTGAGATGTGTTGTGGTGTGATGTCCAGATAAGATACTGCTTTCTTTAGCTTGAACAACGTCACCTCTTATAATGGTGCTTTTGAAGTTGGGAAGGAGGCAAGTAATCAAAGATTATCCTCGAAATTAGATATGAGGGGGACGTTAGTAGTTGATGGGAGATGAGGAGAGAGCGAGAGAACATCCTTCTCATTCACAAGGTAAACGGGGGAACAACCCGAGTCTACTATATGTAAGTCGGCCCCAAGGGACCGAGCAATTGGACGACCATGACGTCCCACCCAAACTTCACGTCTCTCCAATGACTTCCTTTAGGTCCTCAATTGGTCCTCCTTCTCCTCCTCCCAACAGCTTCCGCGCCGCGGGGTCGGGTGGTATGTACCTTATGCGGGGCCCGCGGGGGTGGGAACGTCACCTCATCCGGCAAGCGCAAGCGCCCGGGGTCTCGCCGATGTTCTTCTGCACCGTACGAATTGGGAGATTTTTACCTCCCGCAACGCTAAAAAGAAAATGAGGGGAGTAAAATTTGAACCGGTTCATGACAGCAACTGTTGCCGTGGGAAGCTTGCCTGAATTGGCTTTTCAATTTTCATACATTGCAAGCGCCTTTTCATCATCTTGTGGCTGACACGTCTATTGAGAGACAAAGTAATGACCGCTTGCGCAAGCTCTCGATACTGGAAATGAGGATGAGGGAAAGTCTAGGCGACGGAGCATCGGAGCACAAATCGGCATCATGAAAATAGAGTGTGTATATGTAAATGTATGTGTATGTAGGGTATATCGTAAACCCGAACTCTCTTCTGGATAGAGGTCTGTACACTTGTTGCCGCCCACATACCAATGCCAGTATATCATACCAGACTGCTATCAAAGCTGGTCTTTCCCCCCAAAAACGCCTCATCACATGCCGTTGCCATATTAAATGTTCGAACGAGAACCCCAGTGCTGAATAAATGCTGCCAAAGGAACGGTTATGCCCTTTCTCATTTCATGATGAAAAAGCACCCGGCCACGATGCTCAAAGTGATAGCCGTCGTAGCGAATCCGGCAGCAACCTTATCCTTGGTCTCGATCGGCGGCAACGTAGGAATCTTGGGCTGCGAGCTCATGCCGGCGTTGGCGTTGCCCACCGACGTGCCGCCCGTGTCGGCCGTCACCGGCGCCGTCTTGGTGTCCGCCTTCTTCACGAGCATGTACATGGCGGCGTCGAGCGCGTTCATCTGCGCGCCCACACCGACCAGGCCATCGAACTGGCCTTTGGGCACCCATTGAAATCCGCACGCCGTACCCGGTTGGCCCTTGTAGCCTGTAGCCGGCGAACCGTTGCAAGCGGCAATAGCGAGTTCGGCGCTGGGTCTGAGGAGACCCATAATCTTGTCAAACAGGGAGGGCACCACCTGCGCCGTTCCGGCCATCCACCTCGTGAAGTACCCCTTGAAACTCTGCTGGTCCTGGTCGCACAGCTTGAATGCCTCACAGGCCTGCTCGAACATGGCGGTCTGGTTGAAGAACAACGTCGTCGCCTCGGTCAGCACGCCCTCGGTTCGCGTTAACCACTTTTTGTCCTGGGTCAAGTTGTACATCGTCGCGGCACCGTGCAGGAAGATGCCCGCGTTGTACGACCACTGGATCGTGTCGATATCCTTGCAGTTCATCCCGTTGTCGACCGTGGCGCCATCGTAAATCTTGAACTCGGGCGTGATCAGGCCGACGCTCGTCTCCCAATCCCAAATCTTCTCCGCCCAGTCCGCGTACGTCTGGTTGCCGGTAAATCGTGCTAGTCGAGCTGCAATGTTGAAAAAGCATCCGTTCGAAATCGAGTTCTTATAGTTGAAACCGTTGTTGAACGTGAAGATCTGCCACCGTAACCCACCACCACACGTCGCCGTATCCCAGCGGCTAACATATTGATTGAAGGTAGCCTGAGCCAGCGCCAACCATTGAGGCTTGTCTGATGGAGGGTTCGGGAAGTTGTTCTCCGCCGCGCTCATTGCCGCCATAGCCCAGAATCCTTGGTCGTCATTTCCTTCCGTCCTCGTCTGGTTTCTCGGCATGAAGTCGGCGTCATCGCCTGCCTGATGAAGTAGCGCTTGTGTTGTTACTGCGTTGTATGAATCGTCTCCCGTCAGGCGCCAGTAATCCACCATTGTGCCGAACATCGCTCCAGCCTCCCACCCTGATGCTTTGTTAGAATATATCGGATATGGAAACCCCTCGGCAAAATTACTTACAGAAGTACGGATCTGGTAAGTTGCCTGGTGTGTCGCCAGTGTTGTTTCCTGTGTAGAACTTCAACAAGCCGAAGGCTATTGTGCTCGCACCATCCTTGATGGACTGGTCTTGGTCAAAGTTGATCTTGACAGCCGCGTCCGCGAGCTGGCCCAGCAGACATGCTGCGCCAGCAACCTTCAAGAACCCCCGCATGATTGACTGTGAGTTCCAAGTTGTTGTCGTCGTCTAAGTAAAGATTGTGATCCGTTATGGAATATCAGACCGAGGCCGCAGCTCCTTCGTGGATAACGTTTGTTGCCTTTCGTCTTGGCTCTTTCGATGCTACCGTGCCAGATAGCTAGTTGGTTCAGTTGGCTATAAATGGATAAAAAACAACATAAAAATAAATCACCAACAGAATTCGTTTACTCAAGATGTCTCCTGGACTGCGAAGGGAAGAATTAAACAAGAGAAGCCTGAAACAAGCGGATACGAAGAGAGCACTCGACCAGGAGTAAAGAATGGAATAGACTTGTGAACAAGTCTTCGCAACGGTCTCGCGTTGACGAAAAAGAAAGGAATGCTTCAGAGACAATAGTCAACGAAGCCGAGATGGAGCACAAGAAGGGTAAGGGTTGAGCGGGAGAAGAGAAAGAGACCAGAATGACGTGAAGGAGAGCAACAAGAGAGACAGACTGGAGGGAAAGGAGGGGACTTTCACCCCCCATGACTGAGTTTGGACGACTTCGTCGAACACTCAACGTCGTGACCGATTTTCTGCTGCGTCAACCCCCGTACACGACGTTTCCGAACCCCAGGCGCCCTTGTCATCGTGTCGCACCGCCATGAACTCTCCCACCCCTTTTTTTTTTTTTACTCAGTACGGATAGACAGCGACGATAAGAGACAAGGGACTGTAGAGTTGTGGGCAAGAAGCGAGGCGAGCGAGGCTGTGCGTTCGGGTACGGGGAGAGATGAAACCGTTGCGGTTCGAACTTGGCAGCCTCTCCGTCTCAAGATTGGCCACGGAACCCCCTTGCGACCACAGACGTGTAACCGGAAGCCAAAAGAGACGAGTAAACATTTTAGACTTGTGTTGCCAAGCCTCTGGAAGATCTGGATCTCTTTGGGTGGAACGGTTATTTGGTTTGCAGCTTTTGCGGCGGGTTGAGCAAAAAGGATTTCCTTGAGTTTGGGGTCTCCATGGCGAGGAGTTCGCGACACAGAATTCGTATTGAAGAAATGGGGAATAGATGGCCCATCACTCTAAACTTGGAAGTTCTGTGGGTAATGATCCGACCTTTTAGCAGCTGCAGGCTATTCTCTTGTACGAGAGGGAGCCCCGATACACTGGACGACGCATAGCTGCATGCAAACTGGACTTGCTGCAGTCGTGCAGACGGGAATCCGGTGTTGCTTGCTGCAGTCCTCTCTCTGTGTGCAATGTTGCAATTCCAAGGTTGAGATCCATTTTGACGTTCGGCAAAGTTGGCTGTCACGCATGCAAGCAACGTCCAGGATTATCTGAACCACACCCCCGAGGGAACCAGGCCCGTGCTTCACACCCACCCCCTCTCGCATCGTTCTCCCACTCATCGTAAAGGAACTGCTGCATGACTATTTTCGTTCTCGCCTGCCAAATACAATGTTGGGATGGTTCATGGCTTGTAGCTCTACCAAAAAAAAACCCCCCAAAAGATGTTCTGCGCCACAAATGCCGGGTTTCCCTTTCTCGCAATGCATTATCATTCAAGGTTCGTAAAGGGAGAAGAGACAAATATCTCAAATAGTGCCGCACCCCTCATCACGCTAGCTGGCCATCTCTACCTTTGATCGACCGAGGCGAGGTCAATCAAGACCCAAAACGACTGTTGAGCACATGGACCGCGGATCCCGAGGTACGAGATCGACCTTTTACTCCGAAAGACACATGGGACACTTGAATCAATCCTCACCTACGGGGTATCACTGTTTCCTCGTGGACAAGTATAACTTGTCCGTTTCGTGCATTAGCATCAAATGCCACATTGTGTCATGGAAGCAGGTATATACCAACATGCCGCTGGAGCTGTGACTCGGGGCCTCTAGCAAAAGAAAGCTCTACCCCATTGACACGCGGAAGCCGACAGCCGTCAACCGTCAACCGTCAACCGTTAGCCTAGAGTCGTAAAATGACGCCGCAGAGTCGTAGCAGCCACCGATCTGCAAGTCCTCCCGTTTCGGGAAACCGTTGGACCGGTCGTCTTACTTCTGTGGTTCCGGGACCTCGATGCACGGAACGGTTGTATAGCAACCGCATGTCAATTCACCGCCACATCTGGGTATGAAATCCAGCCCCTTTTAGCCTGTGATTTTCTTGAGCGATCGAGGGCATGTGAGCACTGAGCTGAATGGTCTAGAAATCTTCCCAAAGGTAAATGCCCAGTATTAACGCCATCAGCAAAATTTACAGGCTGAACCTAAACTTCTTGTCTCACGTACATGGATGACTACATCTTCGCAACCCTGATTAATCTCTTATTTGATAACTGAGAATTGACTACTAAAACTACAGAGGAAAGTTGTGAGAGGCATCTAGCCCGAAGCTCTGAGAGAAAAACACACCATAATAACGCATCGTGGCAGGACTTCCACCATTCATAATGGCTGTTCCAATTTCGTACAGACGATTAGTTTCTCCATGTACTCATAAGTCTCATAGAGGCTCTATGGCGTTATGGGCCGTGCTACAAAATGATTCCAACCACATGCTCGTCTGTTTCTCATGTTCATTTCATTCATACGCATTCATCATTCCCATTTTTCCCATTCCTCGAGTAGCTTCTTGCTCTCCTCTCGCGCCCATTGCGTCCTCTCTTGCTCTAGTTTTGCCATCCTCTTGTACGTCTCTGTAAACATCTTTTGCCGCTCAATTACCTTGGTCTCGAGATATTTTGGCTCGTTACGACGGCATGCTTTGTCGAAAACAGCCCTCATTCTGATAGAATACAGCTGACACGACGCCTCTTCTAAGCGCTGTGGCTTCACATAAAAGTTCCTCGCAATGACGTTTCCGTCTCTCAGTTGAGGCGCCACCACCTCGTCGAAACAGTCACCGCAGACGGTGAACTGGGGGAGGAATTGCATGACGTGCCAATTTTGATCATAGACTGGGTTGTCCTTTGAGCACTCTGCAAACACGGAAAGGTTTTCGATGTCTGTCACAAGCTTCGCGATGTTGGGCGCTTGCGTTGTTGCGAGAGCGAGATCTGAAGTCGTCTCAAGCGCATCGAAATACATCACGAAACGCTTTCGATCGGGATTAAAGTGCATCGAGCACACGCTCCTCGTAGGTTGTGCCGTGGGGTGGAGCGTGACGAAAAGGCCTATCAGGTTGGGAAGTAGTGCCTCGATGGTTTTGGCACATTCGTAACAGACGGTGAAGTCTGGCATCGTCATCTGCGTGTACGGATTCTTGATCGAGTACCAAACGCGGGTATTTCGACGGTCTCCCGAACAGGGCTGAATACTGCTAGTCGCCTTGCTGGTGACGTTGGCAACCTGGTAGAACAGGCGCAAGTCCGTCAAACGATTCTTCAACGTCAACAGCCACGCAATGTGATACCACCCAATAGAACCAAAATCGCAGGCAATTGGCTTGTCCATCGGCCGGAATAACATGGGCATAAAGTCATTGCGGAACTCGGTGTTGAGAAACACTCCGTTGTAGCAGTCTGGGCAGATGTTGAAGTTGTCGCACCTTGGCAGACTAAGCCAATCAGCCTTGCCTACAATACCCTTCTTCCGGGGGCAGTCGGGAAAGTCAGATACGCCGCCACGGTCTGCATCGTGCGAATACCGCCGATAGCTACCCCTGGGTCCGTCAACGACTGGTGCGCCCTTGGCCGGGTCAAATTTGGCTGGTGGCCACGCTTCCATTGGCGGAATTGTTTGACTTAGATTGGCCCTCCTCTCAGGCGAGCGTCTTTTTTCTGTTGGGCTCCGTGGTCCAGCAGGAGCAGGCATGGCAGGCATGACCGCTGGTACTATCACTGGATTGTTGAAGGTAGATGCCCGAGACCTTGAACGCGCTCTTGAAGGACGCGACCCGGGATCGCGGACACTGAGGCGGCTTACTCTAGGCAACAGGTCGTCATCAGGGTATGGAACAGACTTCTCCTTGACATCCCCATTATCCCTGGGTTCCCTTGTTACCGGGAATGTTTGTGAGGATCGAGGCGGAGGAGGAGGCGGGATGTCGTCCGCGAACGACTTTGTGGAAACTCGTGGAGATGGCATCAAAACTTCTGCCGGGGGAGGTCTCGATTTTGACCTTGCCGACTGAGATGGCTTAAGCTGGACAGGACTCAGCAAGATGTCCTTGTCTTCTTGTTCCACAATCGACTTTCTCCGCCGAATATTGGCTGTCCGTGGAGTCTGCGTGTAATCGCTACTGCTGGAGCCACTGTCATCTCTGCGTCGTGGAGTTTCGCGCTTGGAATTTGATGTCCTCTTCGAGCCACCATCTCGCTCACGCTCACGCTCACGCTCACGCTCACGGTCGCGGTCGCGGTCGCGGTCGCGGTCCAAGCAATCATACGGCGGCGAAGGAGCCTTCTTCTGTGGCCGTTCACCACGCGGTACCACCCGTTCTCGTTGGTAACGAGGAGACTCGTTCAACCTGTCGCCGGACGCAACTCTTGATTCCTTTGGAGGAGAGTCAATATTAGTGTTGGAACGACGCGTTGGCGGCGGGTTCGATGATGCGTTTTGCCGTGTGTAGTTGTCGTCGAACCTTCTGCTATCCTCGGCTAGATTCGAACGGCTTCTCTGGGGCCGCGGTGCACCATTCCGACCAGACTGCGAATAATCGTAGTACACTTTCTCGCGCCCACCTGTTGCATGCTTTATCACCTGTGGTGAGAGAAGAGGCTCCTTGGGCTGTCTCTTGTCGTCCTTTGGTGAGAAGTAATCGGTAGATTGTTGCTCCACACGAGTCGCGGATTTTGTTCGTTCATGTTTTCGAGGCCGAATCTCCTCGTCTTTAACATCAGTCTCAATGCGCGAAAGCTCTTGTCTGCTCTTTTTCTTTTCGAGATCTGGTCGCTTGTGTTGATTCAGATCCTCGACTGGAGGCGACCGGTATTTTCTGCCAGTGTTCGCTTCGTAGTTTGCTCCGTAGTCGCCCTTGATCTCAGGCTTAGCATGACGCGAGCGTTCGGCAGCGCGTGCTTTGGCGTCGTCTGACGAATCTTCATCTTCTGTCCCGCTCGTAGACTTTGGCACCAGGACGAATCGGCGTTCGGGATTGTGTTCGTGTACCTCCATTATGATGGGGTATTGATCGGCATCACCTCGCGATGGAGGCTCGGTGTCGCTCGTACGCGAGGCGGCGCTGCCGTGCTCTTTTTGGAGCGCTTCGGTCTCATCTTCGACTGTTGGCGGGGGCGGAAAGTGTTTGCGACGGGTGAGCCTCAATGGCGGGTCGAAGGACCTGGGTACTAGCGGATCCGGGTTGGAGGCCGGTCGGGTAGTATTGGAGATGCTGGAAACATGAGGAGGAACGGCCGGAGCATCCGTGCTAGGTCTGCGACTTGGGTAAGACATGATATACAGCAGAGAGGTAGGGAAAGATGGGCTTACTGCTTGGGAGTTTTGGCCCTAGAGGTTGTGAAGAAGCCCGTCTGTAGAAGATCTTCTATGTTGCGTGATTCGCTCATATTCGGAGAGTTGGGGTGCCAGATGGGAACGAAAACTCAGACAGATTATCGGGACTTTGAAGGCATCGTGTGTCTCTGCAGCTGACGAGGACGGGAGCGAAAGACCCCGGTCTCTCAGGCGGTTGTCGCAGCCTTGCGCAACGTTTCGTTTTTTCCGCTGAGGTGTGTTTTCTGGCCTTGGTCGCACTGAATATTGGTAATTGTGGTAGACGGTAATGTTGCTTGTCCAAGGCAAGATATGTACGGATCGAGATATAAGTAGCGGTATCGCGTCAGCGGAAGCGAAGGCAGACCTGGACAAGGACGTAAGAGTCGTGAAGCGTTCCGACTGGCCGGGCGGTGGGGGAGTTGTAGCTGTCGGTATTGAGATTGAAGGAAAGATAAGAGGTGCGGAAGATTGCTACCACGACGAATTCCCCCAAAAACGGCTGGGGCTGGAAAGACGGGCTAAATTCAAGAAGGCGTCTTGTTTGGTGTCAGGCGGGGAGGGGAAGGTGGGATGTGGGAAGCGTTGAAGATGCGGCGTAGGTGCAAGTCCTTATTTGAACATGGGCGACAGGGGGGTGTGGATGATGAGGAGGGGGGAGGAAAGGATACTGAGGGTGGGAAAGTGTTGTCGTTTTGGTGCCCCTCCATGATGACGGGGTGCGGCGCAGGTGTGCAGACTAGAGGTAATTTGTATCCCCACCCGACGGGCTGCTGTGGTATGGATACTGGCCTGCGAGTGTGGTGCTGTGGTGCTGGCTCCTGCTGTGCGCGCGTGTGTTTATCCCGGGCTGGGCTGGGCTCTCTTTCTTTCCCGCCCCGCCGTTCCATTCCAACTAAGGTACTCCGTACGGATACAGATACAAGATACATTGGATGTTACTCCGTACGAACCTAAGGTAGGAGAAGATACCAAGACACCTCAGCCGGAAAGCAGGCACGTAGGAAGGGCCTTCCTGGTCTTGTCATCTAGCCAGCCAGCGCAGTGCCCCAGCTGCCCCGGGCGTTCGATGGCTCTTTCCAGGATTGCCTGTTCGGTGCCCTCCGCCGTCGCCATTCAGGGCAGGAACACAGCTTCACAGTCAGTGCCCTGCGGTCACCGAGGTGACACCGTTCCCAAGACGCAACTCTCTGATGTTGGATTCAGAGTTTCGAGGGCACGGGAAAATCCTCCTCGCAGCTTATCACAACAAAACCTGCCGCTCTGGGCCCGACGACCGAACTATAGCCTCCCAGCCTTACATATTCCCCCCCGTCTTGTTCGGTCAACCGACTGGCTGTCTCTCTGTCTGTGGGAGACCACCAGTGCCAGTGCATTTCATTGCCGTTTTCCAACGTCCAACAACAAACAAACCTCGCCAGGTCTCCCTCTCCACCTGCAGCCATGCAGCCTACGTGTTATTCACCTACCTTACGCACGCCTCCTCTCTTCTGTTTACGAATGCTCTGTCACACTGAGTGTCTGTTCAGCAATACAGAAATACAACGAAAAGACACAAAGCATTACTCAATTCTTCGGAATGGATGGTGGCGATGACTCGATCCGAGATGCACCATTTCCACACTTTCTTTCGCCCTTGCTACTCGCCCTCCCCAACCTGCATAAGAATGATGGCAAGATGGCCATGCCCACGGCGCATCTTGCAGATGGAGCCCTTTAGCCCCCCTCCCAACGTCCAAGGTCAAAGCCTAAGAAACGTTCGAGCGTGCGGACGGCCCAAGGCCTGAGTGCATCGGCATCGACCAGTATCCACTTTCCACCCGGTTCTCACCTCCGGCCTACCTAGCTTGATACCTTCTTGCATATGCTGGGAACCTGTTTAGGGCAACTGACGCTGTCGATTCGACCGTCCACCTGCGATGAGGCCTGGCACGGTACCACGACAGCCTGCCGTCCCTGCCTGCATTTCAACCCTTTCCACGGTTGCACGGATTTGCCTTGACGGGGCCCGACCCTGATCTTTGCACACCTTTGAGGTTACGATGCCCGTCTACAGATAGGTACTCAAGATGAAGACAAATTGGTTGTGGTCGATCAAGAAAAATGACTAGGGCAAACTAAACATATGGTTACGAGGGTTCTCCAAACGAGACTCCAACGGTCCATCTGTCATTGGCCCAGAGCGACAGCAGCATGCGCCACGCGGCGTTGCCGTGTACTCTTTGTGAGGTCAGTTAACGGCCGACTAGTCGCCGTGAAGGTGAGGGGCGAGGCTTAGTCTACGTTGGATTCCATGCCTGGCACCACGGTCAATTCCCAAGGCTCGCCCCCTTCGGTCAACGAATGCCGACTGCCCGTTCTACGATGTGACGAAATTCAGACATCAAGCAACACTTCCCGTTCCCCCGGACGGCGTTGAGTTCGTATCTTGGTAATAAGACGGGCATCGACCCTATCCGCCCGTTGCCGTGTACTAGGTAGTTTCGCGGGAACAATAGTATGAAGTGAAACGCATTGCCCTCTATCTTTCGTTTCTGGCACTAATCTATGACAGAGAAAATGCAACATCCTAGGTCACCTTACGTATCTTTTTGCTGAAAAGTTAGCAGAGATGCTGTGGCCATGTCAGACGTCGTCCTACCTACCCACCCCCACACCTCCTCCAGGCTGCGAGACTCGCCTCTTCTCTCCCCCCTCCATCCCATAACGGGGTCATGCACACGGCTAGCTGCCGCAATTGTTGGATAGCAAAAGTCTGCGCTTTCTAGAATACCCAAAGTCTCCGACGTCTTAGAGCTGCAGCTATCTACGCCAGCTCGTCATTCAGACTACCATCGACACCCTTCAATTCCGATGATCTGCATTGAGAAAGAGCGGTGGGATTTCAGTGCAACGCTTCTCACGCCACAACAACGGTCTCCGTTCAACATGATCAAAAGCTCAAATCTTGGGCGACTTTGACATTGCCAATCACTTAAAGATCTCAAGCCAATTGTGCCGAAGCTAACTGCAGTGGCCCCTGGTTGCGGTCATCCAAGCTCTTCAGACACCGTGCATTTTGCATCGTCTAGCGTGGCCACAAGCCTATCTTTGGGGCCACGGCGGTCATCCCCTGACGTCTTTGAATAGCATCGAATTGGTACAGTTTCACCACGCCTTCCACTTGACTGAGAATAAGGAGGCATCCAGGCCCGACACGGACCGTGCTACTGCCCAAAGTTCCACAGACCTCTCCGCCTCCGGTATCTAACGTGCCTAACGCCTGTCGATTAACCGCTGACATTCGACTGCGACTTGGCCAGCTGTGGGGAAGCTGGCCGAATTCACAGCCAGCGGGATGTGTGCCGTTCCATTAAGCGGTTCTGTTCCGCAAGAGCAGCTTTGGCAAGCCTTTAACGCGTCACAGACTTTGGAAACTCAGGTCTGACTAGAGAGCTTGCTTGAGAGGACAGTCCAAGCTCCGGGCCGGACAGGCCAGCCGCGTATGACTGCTCCGGCCGGGGGAGCAATGCAGCTGCCGCACGGCCACAACAGAAATATCGATGGCTGGGCGAGCCTCATCCGGTCTCTGCGTAGGTGAAGCCGCGCAAGCCAAACCTGAGCGAGAAGAAGCCGATGCCGAGCAAGGCGACCAAAAGAATAGCCCCTCCCTGCAGAGGTTCAGAGATGACTCCTCTGACGACCAACAGGCCACTGATGGCGCTAAAGATGACAGGATTGATGAGCCAAGTGCTATACTCGGCAGCCTTCGCCCCCGGTACGCGGCCGTCTCTTCTACGGAGAAGTATGAGGCCAACGGCTGAGGAGAAGAAGATCATATACGCCGCCAAACCTCGACTATGTGTTAGTTGATAATTCTGTGCGATTGCTTTCCAAACGGAGAGGCTCACCAATAAAAGTAACGAGCCCATTGAAGCTTCCGACACCTACATATACGATTGACAAGGCACAGTTCAACATAAGGGGGAGCAGTGGCACGTTTCTCCTCCACCGACGATTCTGGGTCCAGGATAAGAAGCCCTTGATAGGTCCTCGGACCAGTCTCGGCGTAGACGAAAGATATTCGTCGACACACACAGCCTCGTCTTTTTCGTGGTAACAGTGCAGATTTGCCAGGATCGCAGGGAAATATCCCCTCTGACTGGCAACAACGACGAGCTTGGCGGTCGCAAAGACGTTGGAGTTCAAAGCACCCATTGCCGAAATGGACACTATCACGCAAAAGAGAAGCCCAGCCCAAGTTCCAAGGATCCTGTTGGCGAACTCCTATTCTCGAGTCAGCCTTACAAAACTTTTCCATCCGGCTCGCTTGTAATGCTTACCACTGCGACGGTGCTGCTTGTCCGCATGACGCTCATGGGTAGGCAGACATACAGAGCCGCATTCATCAGCATGAAGCCGATGATCACCACAATCATGGAGCCATTAATCACGAGGGGCAGATCTCTCCTTGGATTTTTCATATCTCCCAAGACAAAGCCAACCTGCCGGGTTATCAGTTCCCATCCACTGCCAAAGTGAGCGAGCAGTCAAACTCACCATTTCCCAGCCGGCATAACACCAGAGAGCTCCAAACGTTGCCGTTCCAAAATCACCGAGCCACTCCCAAAGACTGATTTCTCGCTGCTCAGGAGCCTGGCCAAACCATCCATACTCGGATGAGGGGACACCCTCTCCGTGACCGAAGGCCCAGACGCCGCAGCCAAGGACGATGATGATAGTCAGAGCCGTCATCTTTAAAAAGAGAAACAAGTTGGCCGCTTTTGCGCCCGCGGTCGCACCCAGGCAATTAACCAGTGTCATGGTCACGATGCAGCTCGCCGCCACCACCTTTGATACCCAAGGCGGCAGCGTCTCTTGGTCGGCCACAAAGGCCTCAGTCAGATAATCCGCGAAAATTGTCGCAATCATTGAGTTCGCCGCGGGCTTGATGATGGTGCACCAGACCCAGGTGAACAAGAACCCGGCGAACTCGCCGTAGCAGGCCCGCAGGTATTCCTGGATGCCGCCATTATTGGGGATGCGTAACCCAAGTTCGATGAAGGAGGCGGCGCCCGTCCAGACGAGAAGACCACCAAAAAGCCAGGCCAAGAGGCCGTATCCTGGAGCAGTGACAAATTGGCTAATTTGCGAGGGTACGCTGAAGATCCCCGAGCCGATTTGTAGGCTGATAACGATTGCGAGGCCGTTGAAGAGGGTGAGCTTGCGTGACGCCGACGCCGCCGACGCTGCCGGGGAAGTATCGCGGGATCTTGCTGTTGCCGGGGGCCGTTGGAGGAACGGCGAGGTTTCGTCGGTGCGGAGGTCCGCCATTATCGGAGGAGCTGACTTTGAGATTGCTCAGCTTAGAGCCGAGGGGCGTTAAGTCTTACAAACGACCTTCGAAATCCATGCAAGGTGAGTGGTGGGATCCAAGAAGTGTTTGAGTTCACTCCTTTCTCAGTCTCGTAAACAGCGTTTTACGAATTCATGAGAAAAAACATATAAGGGGAGGTAAGTCGAGTCTAAAAGTAGACCAGCTCGGGTATAAAGTAATGGGTTCGGATGCCGACTGTGAGGAAAAGGGTTCGTTCGATTGCGACACTGGACGCGTAGCGTTTTACCTTATCTCTGGAGCAGTTGACAGGGATCTTTGCGCCCTGTCTGGGGTCTGATAGCATGATTCCGGATAGCCTTTGGCAATCTGCATCTAATCAGATCCGGCTGCTCTTCATCCTCATCACTGGTGGGAAAGATAGTGGACTATTTCCTGTTTCCTATGAGCTGTGCGCACAATGATTCTGAGAGGCTTCCAAAGGCTTGATTCGCGAGTTGTAACGTACCAACCTACAGGCAACTTCATACGAACTGAGAGACGGTGACCGTTGGCGCTTGACTACCGGTTGGAACAGGCTTAGACGAAGGGAGCTTGGGAGAAAGATTATGGTCAGTGATATCCTCTGTCAACTCAATAATAATAAATACCACATCAGCCCTGATGGTCTAGCGGTATGATTCTCCCTTAGGGTCTTCTGACATATCTGGGAGAGGTCCCAGGTTCGAATCCTGGTTAGGGCCCAATTCTTTTGCATTTTGGCCAAGATTGTCAGGATGGACTTGCTTGTGACTGATACTTCTGCTGAAACTTCTCTTTGGCGTTGCATGGGCTTGGTTGAGCGTGGGCGTCAGTAAAGAGGTATTTGCGGCCACCCGCTTGCACTTACACGGATATGTATGAACTCATCTACTAGATGTGTGCAGCCCACTCACTATGCATACAATACATCAAGGGAAAAGATGCAGCTGGCCAAGAATCGTATCCAGAAGCTTAGCAGCTGCAGCTATGTTTCTAAAACAGCTTTTGTATGTGTTTTTGGGACTATGTGCAGGAGAATATGGCCTGTCTACAGAGCATGACACTGTAGTTTGACAATATTCTCACTCCCACTTGGCATAGGCATCTTAGGTCAGTCAGTTCGTCTTGATATGTATATATTCTGGCCAAACATAACGTTGAATTGTCTGAGCTTTGGAGCATCAGACTTGTCAAAGAACGTCAACGAATCGAAACGTTGCCGAACACTGACAGACGCTCGAGAAACAGAGCTTTCGTTGCTAGAAATGGAGGCAAAGTGTTTGCGGTGTACTCAGCATCAACCCCCTGGTATGCACCAGAACTATTCTCAACTCTGAACGCCAAACCGAGACGCATTGAACTTAATCTCATATATGATGAGATTGAAATTGTTGGGTCAACTGGCATCGACGTAGGTTATAAAAGTTGGCCAAGTGCCCAGCGCACTCCAAGGATGCGGTAAAGCGGGCTTTACGATCTGGAGAGACCCGTTGACCCGAGTCCCGCCGCCCGTCCACACCGTCCTCCGGCATTCCATGGCGAAGGTGAAAGGTGGGGTATTTACTGTGCCAGAGCAATTTGGGAAAGCACTGTGCCTCCGGTGCCTCACGTGATTCAAGCCGGGCTTCGCTAACAGGTACCTGGGTACCTGGGTACCTAGGGTCTCCGCCGCCCACACCGATTTTTTTTCTCACATTGTCGTGTGAAATTGATCGCGAAGCCAAAGTGCAAACTTCAACCCCGTCACTAACCAGCAGCCACTGAAGCCCACCGTTGACCCAGGTAAGCTCAATTTTCTTTGCTCCCTGGTTCTCTACGAAAAAAATCCGAATTCTCCATTTTCAAGCAAGGCGTCCCGGCAAATTTCAATTCTTTTCTTGTCCTCCATTATCATCAACTAACCATTTGTGCTTTTCTCTTTTCACAGGTCAATCAACGATCAACACAATGGCTTCGAGACCTACCGTCACCATCATCGGCAAGGATGGCAAGTCCTCCGGCAACACTCACACCCTGCCGGCTGTCTTCCTGAGCCCTATCCGTCCCGATATCGTCCAGGAGGTTCACAAGGGTCTGGCCAAGAACAAGCGCCAGCCCTACTCCGTCAGCGAGAAGGCCGGTCACCAGACCTCTGCCGAGTCTTGGGGAACTGGTTAGTCGACACCTATCCGGAGCGAGAGCGTCACGAGGGGAGGATCTTCGAATTTTCAGCTGGAGTGGTGGAACCGAAAATTCGACAGGGAAGGAAAGGCAATCGGGACCTCGAGACAGACATCTAGGAAGGGGGGTTCGATACAACCTGCCACGAGGTGGATGTCCGAGGGCCCGAAGCGAAAACTTTCTCGACGAATTGGAGGATCCCCGACCGACTGAGAAGAGAGAGGACTTGACCGAAGACGTCACTCTGAGAGGGGAATAATTGTGCTGACAGAAACACCACAGGTCGCGCTGTTGCCCGTATCCCCCGTGTCTCCGGTGGTGGTACTCACCGTGCCGGTCAGGCCGCCTTCGGTAACATGTGCCGTTCCGGTCGCATGTTCGCCCCTACCAAGACCTGGCGCAAGTGGCACGTCAAGGTCTCCCAGGGTCAGAGGTGAGACTTTTTCCATCTCCAGATTCTTCACCACCCCCACTGCGGGGATCGTGAAGATCGAGCCAAAAGCGCGGCGTTTCTAACAGGCATAAACTACAGACGTTACGCTACCGTTTCCGCCATCGCCGCCTCCGGCGTTGCCCCCCTCCTCCAGGCCCGCGGTCACCAGGTCTCCAACGTCCCTGAGGTTCCCCTGGTCGTCGACTCTGCTCTCTTCGAGAACGCCGCTGTCGCCCGCACCTCCGCCGCCGTCTCTCTCCTGAAGACCGTCGGTGCCTCCGACGACGTCGAGAAGGTCAAGAAGTCCAAGAAGCTCCGCGCCGGTAAGGGTAAGCTTCGTGGCCGCCGTCACCGCCAGCGCCGCGGCCCCTTGGTCATCTACGACCCCGAGGTCGACGGCAAGGAGCTCGTCACCGCGTTCCGCAACGTCCCCGGTGTCGAGACCTCCCCCGTTACCGCCCTCAACCTCCTCCAGCTCGCCCCTGGTGGCCACCTCGGCCGCTTCGTCGTCTGGACCTCCGCTGCCTTCAAGTCCCTGGACACCATCTACGGCACCACCACCCAGCCCTCCGCCCTCAAGAAGGACTTCCTCCTTCCCTCCAACATCGTCTCCCAGAGCGACCTGACCCGTCTGATCAACAGCTCGGAAACCCAGTCCGCTCTCAACGAGCCCAAGGGTTACGCCGTCACCCGCCGCTCCGCGGTCCAGAAGAAGAACCCCCTCAAGAACAAGCAGGTCATGCTTCGCCTGAACCCCTACGCCTCGGTATTCGCCAAGGAGGCTGCCCAGAAGAAATAAACAATTTCTTACCTGGGACGGGTGTTCTGACGACGGTGGTGGAATGCAGGTTTCTGAAACGGACGGGGCTACATTTTAGCATGGTTTGTGCTTGAGGCGTAATGGCAACTAGGAAATGTTGACCTCAATTCATCAATGGACAAATGATTCCCTTGAATTCACACAACAAAAGTCTTGGTGTACTTTGGTCTGCCCCTGGACCGTGACGACTCTATTCCACGTGATTATGACCTTTTCTTGTTTTTGTATTTTCTCTCTATTACGTAGTGACTGAAAGGTAGCTACAAAAAGTTCTCTAAACTCTATGGTGCATATCGTATGTGAGCTATAACCCACGTCCTCTTACATGCCACAAGGATGGTTTGGTTCATCAGATTCGTTACACGTTCGTACTTGCAAAATGTATCCAAAGGGTCCTCAACATCCCATCAAACTACCCAAGTTGCCAAACCCCTCAAGCGCCTCCTCATCTTCACCCTGAAACATGAAAAAGTCCCCCAGTAAATCCTCCACCTCCTCCACCTTCTTGATCCTCCAGAACCTCTGAATCGCATCCGCCAGCCTCTGCGCGCACAAGTCCACATTCTCCTCCGTCTCAGCCGCGAAACACAACCGGAAGTAGGCCCACCCCCTCTCCGCCCGGATCGCCGGCGTAGCACTAAAGATGAGCCCGGGGCTCACGAGCACGCGGTACGGCTTCTTGGTCGCAAAGAACATGAGCGCCGTCGAAAGCCTCTCCCCGTCGAGCAGCGGGATCCGCTCACCGCCCGTCGCCATCCACAGCGGGTGCGTCTCGAGCCGCAGCTTGAGCCAGATGAACATGCCGCCGCGCGGCCACGCGAACTCGTAGAGCTGCGTCTTGCTCACGACGCCCCAGTCGGCGTCGTCGGCGCTGCGCGGGGTCGACTGCTTGAGCTGGATAGACCCTTCGTCGAGGATGGTGCACATGCGGTTCATGCGACGCTCGTAGACGCCGCGGAGGCCGGCGAGCCAGCGGACCCAGCCGTCCATCTTCCAGCCCTCAAAGGTCTGCTTCTGGCGCGAGGTGAGGGCGGCGAAGGCGGAGCGGGCGGCGGGGGGTTGGTCGCCCATGATGAGCTCTGCTACGGTGGATTGCACGAAGCCTGAGGGTTGCTGGGTGGTGACTTCGGTGATTCTGGAGAGACACGGTCATGTTAGTTTCGATGGTGTTTGAGTGACACGTTGAGGTTGGATAGATAGATGGTGCATACCTCAGCAAGCGCTCAATGATGGCCGGCTGCGCCGTGATCCAGCCCATGCGGCATCCCGGCGCGATGGTCTTGGAGAAAGTGTCGAGGCGAATGACCCTGCCGTCCGTGTCGATGCTGAGGAACGAAGGGGTCAAGGAATCCAGGAACTGGTAGCCGGAAGACTTGGTGGGCTTGTAAGTCGGAGGAGAGGGACAAACCTCCAGGCCGCGCGACTTGGCTTCCTCGACGACCGCGGAGGGGTACTGCAGGTACCAGTACGGGTCGTCTTCGACAATGATGATGTCGTACTTGCTGGCGATGGCGTAAATCTCCTTACGGCGTTCCACAGACAAGATACCGCTGGTCGGGTTGTGA